TGTATGGCCATTGGTACAATTAACCATTTTCTTTTTCATATCATCAATCTCACTTCAAATACTTAAGTGTTTACTACATTTAAGGCACCATGCCATGGGCTATAAAGAATAAAAAGAGGTTTTAAAACACAGTGATCTCTCTTTAAAACACACTGTCTGCCTGGTTGGCCCCACAAGGTTTTTTCATATAATCTAACTACAAGAATTACAGAATTCCAAAGGAGGAGGAACTGACTTGCAGTTAGAGTTGTCAGGGATGGCACAAGGAGAAGACGGATCGATTGACAGAGTTTTGATGGGGGGTTTGGACATTTCTGATTACAGAATGGCAATAATTCAGGGACAAATGCAAAGGCACAGAGCAATTTCTGTATGAAGTAATGTTTTAGTTATGCTAGAATAAAGGTTCCTTCCCACAGATAGAAGAGATAAGGCCAGAATGACATGTTGAGTCCATATTATTATGAAAGCTTCGAATACAGGCTATGGAGTTTGTCTTTAAAAGCACGAGAGTTTCATGGAAAGCTTTTGAGCAACCAAGTAGTGTTATCAAAGCATCAGGTTAATAAGAGGATTCTTAAAGTGATGCATAAATCATCTTGAAGGGAGAAGAGCCTGAAGGCAGAATGCTCAGGTAAGAGGCCATGGCATAAGTCTGAGTGGGAGGTGGTAAGGACCAGAATCAGGTGGGAGTTAGGAGTAAAGGACAGACTAAATCTGTATGTGCTTCTTTTTTTATTTTTAATTTTTACTTATTTATTTTATTTCAATTTTTTTGGTGAGGAAGATTCACCCTGAGGTAACATCCATGCCAATCTTCCTCTGTTTTGTATGTGGGGCGCCGCCACAGCATGGCTTGATGAGTGGTGTGTAGGAATGCACCCGGGATCTGAACCCATGAACACCGGACCACTGAAGTGGAGCCAGTGAGCTCGACCACTGTGCCACTGGCCAGCCATTGTGCTTCTTTTTTTAAATGGAGCATTTAACATATCACTATAAATGAATAATATAATAAAAATTCCAAAGCTAAATTTATTGATACTGATCATTGTCAGGGAGCAAACATTAATGGAATGATTATTAAAGTGTCCTATAAAAGACAGCGACATGAATTCTTTACCTGCATGACGTTGTTATGAGTATAACCCAGTTTTACTCGATTCCTTATGTAATTTTCCAAGTTAAGACATTCCAGGGAGAGTCTGGTCCTAGGAAAACTTGGTGTACTTTTGAGAAACTGGTATATTTTCTTCCTTCTCGTACTAAGAGGATGACGCTTAGGCAATCGTCCCTGAATGCCGACAGGCTCCAGACCAGACTTTCAGCTTAACCACTGCAGCTGTGTTGACTTTAGACCGTAATCTGTTTTCTCCTTTGTTCTTAACTCTCCTCCTCTCTCTTGTCATTACTCTTCACTAATCTTGCTGTCTTGGTTTCTCCTGTCCCCTCTGTAAGCTTCTCTAAATGTTTTTTTAAAAGAGGCACAGGATAAGTGTATTTAATATGTGCCAATAGCTCTCCGTCCTATGTCTCTGGCCGCAGTTTCTTCCTTGAGCTCCCGCATGGCATCTCTACATCTTGATTGTGTTTTGACCCAGCCTCTAAACAGATGGCCCTATCCAGCATCTCTCTTATGTCCAACCTCTAACATTATTCAAATATGATCTTGAGACCAACAGTAGTAGCATCACCTGGTAACTCCTCAGAAACACAAATTCTCAGGCCTCACTCCAGAGTACTGAATAGAAACTCTGAAGGTGAGGCCCAGTAATCTGCATTTTAACAATTCCTTCTGGTGGCTCTGACACATGTCGAAGTCTGAGAACCACTGCTCCAGACAATGAATGTATTCTTTCTTTCTCCCCCTCTGTGTTCTCCAGCTCATGGTATCTCTCATCCACTCTACAGGTTGGCTCTGTTATCCTGGCAAATCCTTTAAATACTTTTTAGAGTAATTATAAATTCTTAAAGGAGCTTATTGGATTGGTGTCGCTAATTATTACTCTCAACACCTCATGGTCACTGGCTGATTCATGCTCAAACCACACGTGGACGACCTGACAACACCTGGCCCAGTCAGTGGCCAGCTTTATTGAAAAACAGACGAACACTGCTTTCCTGTGAAGAGTACAGCAGATAAACAGAAGGAAGGCTGCTCCTGTCCAATAAGTTACTGTTTCATTAGGTAGATGAATGCAGTATGACTCCAGCAGACTAGTTGGGATTTTCTTAGTTGGATAACCTGGATTTCAGAGTCCTTTTAGGACAGATAAGAAGCAACAATTATTGCTTGACATTGTTGGAAACAATCAGAGGAGAGGCAGTCTACCTGTTCTGATATTTGGAGATCTCAAGTGAGGGTTGAGAGCAAAGGTTCTATTAGAAGTGAAGTAGACAAGGACCCCATGCATAAGTTATACAGATGCCGTCCAATTTATACCCTCAAAGGAAACGTATTGCTGGATGTTTACATTAGTGTGTAAAGATATTAGCCCCTCTCCTCCTTTTGTAAATTAAGAAGGACTTTATAAGTTTAAACGTAGTGACAACTTTAAAAATTGGTTTAAAATCTTCCAGTTGCTTTGTCAGGGGCAAGAAGTAGCAGGGAGCAAATGAGTCTCACTGGAAATCTCTTATTAAACTGAGGCAAGAAATAGATGGGGGGGGGGGTGGTTCTTGAAGTTCTGCATGGTGGTAAAATAAAAAGACGAGTATTCTTGCAAAATAGACTTGAGTTCCTAAGATTTATTTTATCATAATTTGAAAGATGTTGGTAATCCATGCAGCTAATAACTGGGTGAAAGGTAGTCTTGTTCCACAGTTGATTACGAAAAAAAAACAGAACAAGTATTTATTAGGCATTAATATGGCACTCAGTTCCTACCAGGAACTTTTTATCTATTTGAAGAGTCAAGGTTAAGGAATCTGAAGCAACACCAAGAGTTCATGATAATAGAGGCTAAGTGCTATATTACGTTATCCTTGACGTACTTCTCTTTGTACTCTCTTGGAAATCTCATCTCTCATGACTCTATCTAATAACTATGTAGGTCAGTGTTTCTCACTCTTGAGTAATGTAGGGATGGACTGCTGCAGAAATTTCTTATATTCCCTCAGAAGGAATGAAAGTATTTTTATCATTATTTTACCAAAACATACATCAATCTAAAAATAGGTACAAGCCACTTAACGTTAGGATTCTTAAACAACTATATAAAACAGATTTACAAATTAAATACAGAAAAGCTATACAGCCAATAGAATTTAAATCAATTTAGTGGCATAAATAATGTTTAATGAAGGCAAAATCACCACTCAAAGCCGGAGCCTGCTTCTGCCTGCTAAGGTGCAACTTCCTTCGTGTTCAATAGGCCTTTCTTAACATGAGTAACACGATGACTCAGCGCTCACCACTTCTTTATTCAAACTGCTGTGAAACCATCCTTTATACAATTCCTGTGGGATTTTTTTTTGGGGGGGGGGCTGTGATTTGTACAAAGACTTTGTGTATATTAACTCTGCTTGTGATACTTTCTATTTGGCAACAATTAATATAGTACTATGGATTGTCAACTTGATGGAAATACAAATGAAAAAGGTGAGAGCCCAAGTCTTGGGTGATACTTAATATATTATATATCAACCTAAGGTAGCCAAGCAGATGGTTCCCAATTTTATTCTGTTACTTTTTAAAGATTTTCATAGATATGAAGACATGAAATCCTCATTGAGAGATATAAAGCCCGCATTAAAAACTGAGGGCAGCTGTGGTCGACACAGCTGGGCCTCCCAGATCTCCTACAAGGAAGCGTGTGGTGCCCCACCTACCAGCCTCCAGCTCTCAGTTCCTTGAGGGTTTGCTCAGCTGCAAAGAACTGCCTAGCCCAAGGGCTTGTCCTTCCACAGGTGCGCACCTACAAGGACTGCTGGAGAGAGCAGTGTTAAAACCCGGCTATTTCCCCTGAACAGGGACAACTCTGAAGGACCACCTATGTTCTAGACTCCCTTTTGGGTATGGCTGAGGGTTTGTCAGCCTACATTGCATGTCCATTTTGCCCTCCCAGTCCTGCTTTGCCCCTCTTTCCCAGTAGCTATGATCCCTAATAACCATCCTGCATGCCGGACTCCATCTTAGTGTCTGCTTCTGGAGGTTCCAGCCAACAAGAGCTCCTGAGAATCTCTCTGAGGGCTCCCGGAGGAGTAAGAATGCCTCTTCTGTAGCCCTGATTCTTCTTGCAAGCTTCTAGTCTGAAAGTTCAGCTTCCAGGTGTATATTCCTGCCAGCATTTCAAATTCAACCAGTCCAAGGCTGATGGATAACAGATCTCTTGGGCTCGTGCCTAAGAACAACTTGTGAGGTACTTTTTCCTGTTTTATAATTTAGTTAACGGCACTACCATCGTATTCCCACAGGATCAAAACTTGGGAGGTAATTTTGATTTCTCACACACCTTGCTCTGTATATTCAATCTATTATTCGTGCTTCTTAACATGGAAAGAAAAGAACTTTACTCATTTCTCCAGGGAGTCAATTCTCTCTAAACAAGGATGCAGCTGAAATTATAATGGAGAGCTTCACTTTGCTCTCGAAATATCTACTCTCTTTAATAATTTTTTTTCCCTTCCCTTCAATTCCATTAACTTTAAAACACTTTTTTTTCTCATAAAGGACACACACAATTCCAACCCATAATCTTCTACTTATTTGGGAGCGCAATATGTCGGCTCATGTATTAAATAAAAGAATAATGCTTTGAGAGAATGGCAGCTGATGCCAAAGGCTTCACTGCTCCTTCTGCAGTTGGAATTAGTGTAGCACAGTTATTAAAATAAAACATTTATTTTGTCCCTGTTTAAGACAAAATACAATCAACTTTCTTTTCCTCTTTATCTTTTATATTGGGCTGAAGAGTAAAGAAAACCAAGTCTTGATAAATGCCAAAGTAATAATTTTACAATATAGACACTAAAACATATGTGAACGTCATGTGGTTTAGAAGTCCATGAAAACATACGTATTTTTTAAAGCAGTCAACTCACTGAAAGATAGTGACGTTTAAAACTGAAAGTTGTGTTGTCAGTTGAAAATGAGTCACTGAGATGTTTGTGAAGGAGAAATTGTCAGGAAAGCAGTAGAACATTTCCTGCCCGTGGGTGCAGTCTTGAGGATTTCTGACGGCCATGACGAATCCAACCACCATCACCACCGCACCGATGGGGAGCATGACGCAAGACATAATCTTATCCGAGTGTGTCCTTGGTTCTTCAGACAGCTTCAGATAACATGCCGATGGAATGATAAAAATTAAAGGAGCTGCACAGAGCGCACCCTGAGTGTTGAAAACAAGACACGAGATAATGTCACTGGAGGGAGCATTCCTGGGGTAGTTTTCTAAAAACATTTACAAAATGTATCTGTCATTGCACTTGTTAAAAGTTTGATAGGTTCAGTTGAATCAAACAAAGGAAAGAAAAAGAATTACAAGAAAGACGAGGAATAGGTTTTTCTTCTTCTGATGGAATATTTACAAAAGAGAGTAAAATAATGTAATAGTATATCAGACTTAAGAAAAAATGATCAGAAAATAATATGGAAAATAAAGCAGATCGTAGGACGGACTTGTGGCAAACTCTTGAAATTTCCCATATTTTCAGTTACATCATATTTCCTTGTACCTTTCATTACAAATTTCTGTGTATTTACTATGCTGGTCAAATCTGAGAGATCTATTTCTGATTTGTGTACGAGGGGACTTTTGGGAGGTATCTACGGCATATTGTCTTTCCTCTTCACCTGAGTTTGTATGAAAGTAGGTGCCTGTCTGTATGAGAAATGAAAACTATAACCCTAAGGGTACTTAACATGAAACAGCATTTCTAAATCTTCTTTCAAGTGAAACTAAACACATTAATTACCCTAGAAAATTGACAGTGGAACTAAATGTTTATGACTCACTCAGCCTCCCCCACTTTAGCTTATGGCGAAGTCCAACCTGAAGGGGAATGTCAGGCTGAAGCTTATGGAGAATATCATAAAAATACCAAGAGTTGCTGACTTCAAAGGAAAGAGACTTTCCCCTTGAGGCCAAATTTGCTGTGGAAACTTTGCAAATGAAATCACGTTAAAATTTAATGCATTTTAGGTAATATATTTTTCTAATTATATTAAATATTAAGCAAAATATAACACATTATTAACAAAATATATTAAATATAATTCTATGACAAATAATAGTCACTTAAACCATAAAACACAAGTTTTTTAAAACAGACACTCAATAGCAAATGCGATACTGGTTTAGAATTAAAAGCAAGTTTTCCATAAAATACATGTTTGCTATATTTGAAAAAGTAATTATTATGGAAATTTGTAAATATAGAGAAAAGTAGGAAGAATAGTATAAAGAAAGCTTCTATACCTACCACCTATGGTTTGAAAGCTTTTTGATATTATTTTGGTAGATTTTTCAAGGAAAAATTACAGAAAACTGATTTTGAAGTGGATGGTATAAAAGAACAGATTATCCTTTAAAAATAGTTTAAAAGAAATATTTTTTCAATATCACCATATAATAAAATTACTGTGTTTTATAATAAGTACCACCCTCATACCAGAAATATTACAACTATGATTCCAAAAATATCACTTTTTAATTTTTTACAAAGACAGCAACAATCCAGAGAAATGGCAATTAAGGAGGACACACTATGAAATCAGACTAGCCAGGCAGTATCTGAAAATCTGAGGACAAACAGGAGGGATCACAGTCCATGGAAAATATTTCTACCGTCAGTGATAAAGCAGTGAGAAAATACTAAGAGGTACCAAATTGTATTCTATTTTAAAATATATGGACAATATAATTTTGCTACTCATAGAAGCTGAATACAAATGAATACCTGCAAAGGTCCATAGTGTATAAAAAGTGAGTTTTCATATGGCTGGAATTAAATGAATTATGGATTCCTTAGACTGTATCATGACACTTGAAACTGGCAATGTTGTTTAAGTTATGGAAATACTGTAGAATTCAGTGTGTTTACAATAATTATTATCCTTTGATTTCTTTGAAATAGTTTTTGAAAACAATAAAATAGTAATTAAAATACAAACGTGTGTGTGTGTGTGTGTGTGTGTGTGTGTGTGTAGAGAGAGAGAGAGAGACCCTTGTAAAAACAAACTTGAAGCGAATGCATCTGGAACTGCAGAGTGTGAAAATGCTATCAGGATGAAACTGCCACCAGCTGCTGCTTAGAAGCTGTCATCAGTCAGCATTTTGGGACTCTTCCAAATCTAACTTGCTGGGCAGTGCAAAGCAATGGGTGTTCTGTTTATGTTATAATTCCTAAAAGTTGAGAAAGCAGCAATTAGTGGGAAAACTATATAGCTGATGTTTGTACTGGAAGAAGTCCAGTTGGGTATCTTGTCTAGATAGCACTTACTTTCCTAATATTTGAAAGCTCATTCTTATAAGAGGTTGCTGCTAGGACCCAAGACCATCAGTAAAACGATAGTGCAATTCCATCTGTTCTATTCCCTATGAATTAGTCTGGCCTACTTGATCTGTTTAATATAGTCTTGCTTGAGAATATACCACTGGCTTTAAATAATTTTTGAAATTGCTTGACAGGATGTAAATACTATAACTGTTTATTAAAGAGACAATAAAATATAGTCACATTTATAAAGGCAGAATAGCTCTATCCTTTGATGATAATACGATGGAGGCCATGGCATTTTGCAGTTTGCTGTAGGGAAATAGCAGAAGATGTTAAAGATTTTTACTGGCAATACAGATTGGAAAAGTATCTGAAATTTCCTACCTGAATAGAAACCTCTCAAATGATACAAGGCAGCTGAAAGCTAAGTTTAAATAATGCTTATACAACTTTTAAATGTATGCTTTGTCATCAATGTGGACTCATGATATGTATTCTTATACCTTAAAAAGAAAATCTCTCTAGCTCAAGAGGTCTTTGGTAGCTGGGACTATGGCTTGCTCACCCTCATGACTGTATCTCTCTATCTGGGCTCTTGCTGGGTAATTGGCTTGCTTCCTTCCCTCCACTGTAAGCTGCACACAATGCTTGTTGGGCTGGTTACTCTGGCCACAGGGACCAGCTGCTTCATCTTTTCTCTTTGTACTGCTGCAAGTAGAAACCCATAGGGCCCAATTACTGCAGATGCCTCTTTTCTCTAACACTAACATCAGTGCCAAGATGCTGGATTCTTATCACCAAGTTATTTTATTTGCTTCTAAAATGAATCCTGTAAAATTGAGAGTGCGTTTGCTTTGGAAAAATATGTCATTGTGTCTACCCTGTGAAAACAATGAAATAAAAGGGAAGCTAAGTTCTAACCAGGGTTTTGCTTTTTATTAAATAACTAATACAACCACAAATAATTTATCCTATATTATTTTAGTTATACTCAGTAACAGCATTTCCCTAACTTTGCAAATTGTAGGTCTGACTCTATTACGTGTCTCATTTATGAAGATTATTATCTACTTAGTGATGATTCAGAAGCCACAATAGAAAAGAATTCCAAAAGTACTACAGTTGTTAACTAGGATAAAAACTGTTGGCTAACAATTATTAATTTAGATGAAAAAGTTTTAGTTCCATTTTATTTCATCGCCTGATATTTATTTTAACTCATTATTCAAGTCTATCTGTGCGTGTTACAGATTACTCTTAACCTTACTTACAGGTAAGCTCAATGCATAGATCTTTTAATTTAAAAAATGGATAGAGAAGTGAATGTAATTATTTTACATAATTTAAAGCCTATACTTAGGAAACCTAAGACTAGCATACTGATTAAAAATATGGGCTATAGGGTCCAAGAGCCTATGTTCAAATCTTGATTCTGCCACTTACAACTAGTGTGACCTATTTAATCACCCCGTGCCTCAGTTTCTTCATCTGTAAAATTAATATAGATCAAGGGAGATAACACATGCAACACACTTGGCACAGAGTAAATACTCAATACATGTTGGCTCACATTGTCGTTCTGAAGTGGAAGACAGCATGCTTTGGTTACTTCTAATGTGATGCATGACCCAGCCTGCATTAATTACTGACAGAAATGATGCTTGATCTGGCTCTATTAAACATGACAAATGCCCACACAAAAGGGAGTTGAGTAAAGACCTGAATACGTTATTGTGCACACCAAAAGACTTTTGTTGACTGGAAAAACATACAATCAGGTGGTCTGAAAGAGAATGGAGATCCTAGATTTTAACAATTCCTACAAAGTGCTTTAAAACTAGTGTAATTGTCTTTGGTTATTAGATCATAACAGATAACTTAGCACTCTTTAATTGTTTTTTTTATGAATATCTATATAACCAGGTTTTAGAAAATCTAAGGATTTAGAATCATGTTTTAAATTTTAAAAAGTAGTCCTATACAGCCAGCTCAGATCTTGACTTTATAACAGATATTCACCAAATATTCTCTGATTACTCTACAATACCAGAATTCTGTCTTAACCACAAAAAAGTTTCAACATAAGTACAGGAGAGAATATTTAATGTCATTATGTGCTTATGATTTTGTTGTGCAAGTGTCAGGGAGATTAGCAACTAACAGAAAGTAATGGTCAAATTTACAAAAATACATCATTCCTAAAAAATAAGCAATATATGTGTGCTTGGTTAACTTAAAGGGAACAAAAAGTTGTTAGGCTATCAAGATGTGGTGAATGGTCAGGCACCTGATAAACATATTTTCTCTCATATCAACATCCTACATATTAAAAAACAGCCCAAACATGTGAATTCAAATGAGTCATTTCAAAAAACAAGAAATAATAGAGCTGGGAATGATTATGTTGATCATCTCAGCACAGTTGAAGGATTACTATTACTGTCAACACCAACCATTTTTTGCAACATTTAATTTCCTGGTGCTACACTAAAGAGTGTCTCTTATGTCCAGGAGCATTTGTAGAAACAGTTCCTGAACTGCGGTCCTAAGTGGCAATCGCCCAGGCAGCAATTTGAGCACTGTGTTCTTAGCACTACGCCAGGTGTTGTGGAGGATGTAGAAGGCAGCTGAATTCATTCTTGTCTTCAAAAAGCTTACAATTTGGTAAAGAAGGCAAGCTTATGGACAGTACAAACAGTACATGACATGAGATAGTGCATTAAGTCAGCAGTCATCCATTTATACAAATCAAAGTTGGAACATGAAATGATTTTGAGTGGACCTACTAGCCTTTGGCCTATGCAAAATTGGGAAGGAGGTAAAGGTTCCTTTGATAATATTTACCCACCTCTCTTATGAGCTCTCTTTTCTTTACTGGTGGAATAGATGATTCCCCAGTCCCCTGTGTTTTGGGGAAGCTGTCTACTCCCTACTTTCCATTTACTCTGCTGTAAGAAAATCCCCAATAGCGTGCTCTTGACTGAATCTCCTACCGCCTTTGTCTGAAACTTCAAATCCACATGACATCTGAAGGGAATAGTAACTTGGGCACTGACAATTAATACCTTGGTCTATCCCTCAACTCTCAATGGAATGAGTAAATGATGACTTGGGATCTCACTTGTAAAAGTGTGTCCTCCTCATGGTGCATGACTAATAAATGCTAAATGGTGTGATTCTGAATAGAAATTCCATAAGGATTGTAGAAGAGGAAGATTAATGATCCTAGAGTGGGAGAGCTACTTCGATTCATCTCACCAAACGGCATCATTATCCTGGTTCCACAAAACTGAACCAAGGCATCACTCTTGATATGTCCCTCTATCCCTCTGTGCTCCCAATGGAACCTGTCCACCAAATCTTTTCTCAAAAATGTCTTTTGGGAGCCCATCTACTTCCCTTTCTCTTCTTCATCATCTATATAGCAGCTGAACTTTTACATTTATTTGTGAGGCTGTAAATTCTATGAAAGCATGCATCCTTCCTGATTTCCTCCCATCATTGTATCTCTATTGTGTGGCACTTAGTAATTACCCAGTATATATCTGATCAACGAATAAACGAGCTAGAAATTACATTAGACCTTAAATCTTTGTAAGATTTGGACAGAAATGAAAGGAAAATAATAATTACAGGAAAGGATAAACAGATAAGCCAAAGGATAAAAGGAAGAATTAATATGGCTTACTGACAGGTCAAAAATAAGATTGGCTAGAGCTAAGGGTAGATTTGGGGAAGTAAATAGTAAATAACTTTCCATAGGAAGCATGGGCTCAGATTTTAGAGGCAACAGAGTTTACACTTGCTCTGGCTGGAAAGTGAACGTTTTTAAACAAAATAGTGAAATATTGGAAGCCGAACTTAAATATGTGCTAGTTGAAGCAAAAAGCCGCTATTAATTCAGATGAGGACCTATATTTGAGATGTAGCAGTAGAGATTCCAAAGGAAAGGTCTAGAGAGAGAAGAAAAATATTTTAAGGAAAAAGAACTTGGGCCATGGTAAGTGAATGTGGAGTATGGAGCAAGCTCTCTTCATTGACATGTTTTTAATGAATCCCTCTAGACCTATTTTCTCAGCAAAGAACATTCTAGAGCTATTTAATTTATAGTTATTTTTTAGGAATATCTATATATTATAGAAAATAAAATATGTAAAAGTGCTCTAAACCAGGGGTTCTCAACCTCAGCGTCACTGACATTTTTGGTTGGATAATTCTTTGTAATGGGTTGTCCTATCCACTGTGGGATGTTTAGCAGCATCTTGGCCTCTACCCACCAGATGCCAGGAGCACCCGCCTAGCCCGTGACAACCGAAAATGTCTCTAGACATTGCTAAATGCCCCCTGGGGGAGGAGAGGCAAAATTCCCCCATTGGAAAACCACTGCTCTGAAAGTATACAGTCCTATGAAGTACACAGCATCGTTATTAGGAATATTTACTATAATATAACAAGCGCATTTTCATTTCACTTCAGAAAGTGATACCTTGTTAAAGAAAAGACACCTGATGTTAAACGTAAACATTATCTTTTAAAGGGACTTTTAGAATGGAAGGAGTAAATCTTTAAATGTACTTACGTTGAGTTCTAAAACTATTCCAAGGCAATCAATCAGCAATGACACAAGTGTGGCAACAGTAATGATAACCACTGTTACAACAATATGGACAACTGATGAAAGAGTCCCACCAAAAAACACATTAGCAATTACCTGCCAAATAAACAGATTATTTAGAGAGGCACTCTCAGACGCATGCAAGACTTATTAAGAGAGTATTTCATATTATAGCACCTAGGGCTGTATAAAACACAACCTATATGGCAATCAATTAAATCTTAAGTCACTATGAATGTTCTATCTTTTCCAAAGTATTTACACATTGTACTCACACATATCAATAACAAGTATTCTTTGTTGAACTATTAGACAGGCAATGGATTATATTACAGACTCAGGACACAGCACATGAATGTGTGAATAAATATCTTTCTCAAGTATAAGAGAGACTTGGGAGGTTACCTTATCCTTCTTCCCTGAGTCCAACAAGATTACCACTAATACAAACTACAGACGCTATTCAGATTATTTGAATGACCTCTAAGGAAAGAGTTACACAATTTCCTTTAACAGTAATAGATGTGTAATATCCTTTAGTAACAGGAAATTAATTTTATATAAAATAAATCCTATTTGATATAATTTAATTCTATTTTATCTTGCCTTTCCTCAACAAAAATGAAGAAGAGTTGATCACCATTTTCCACTGATATTCGGATAAGGAAATCAATCAACAGTTACCTATTTAATGCATCTCACACTTAGACATGATTTGCAAAGAGAAAATGCCTAGGAGATGATTCCTATTCTCAAGAATTAACATTCTATTTGGAGAGATCCAACCAATCTAATAAAACAAATAAGCAATCAATTTATGAGAGGATAAAAAAGATCAAATACAATTTAGAACTAGAAGGAGCTTTGGGTATCTAGAGCTGTCTCCCTTAGAGTAATTGGCTTTACAGCATTCCAGAAATGTACTCGTCCCACCTTGGCTTGACATGGGGCTTGAAACATGGATAGGATTTAGAGCAGAATTACAGACTGAAGCAACAGTGTGAAAAAGCAAAGAGGTAAGAACAAGAAAGATAACTATGGAGAGGACAAGGAGGAGACACTGAATAGGGTGGTGACTGTGCAAAAGAACAAGGAGACAAGAGTTGGAAATGGTAGGAGAGGGTCAGATGCTGGGGGACCTTAAAACCAACTCTCCAAACTATGATAAGTAACACTCCCCATAGACTAGATGCTGCCATAACTCTGCTCACAATTTAATGGGGATACTAACAACTTTTACTTATGTATGGTTTACAGTTGGTAATGTCTTTCTTAATACTATCTTATTTAAAATTCATTTTTATAGATGCCTCTAAAATATGATTGTTAATAGTGGAAAATCACTTAGTGAGGCAAGCTAGTGAGAGAGATTTATTAGGGGTAAACAGGCTTTTTGCCACCCTTGTATGTGGTTGGCCACCTCACCTATGAATAGAAATGGCTTTGATTCTGTTTATATGTTTATACCAACTGTATATTGTGTGTGTGCGTGTCTGTGTGTCTGTGTGTATGTGTGTGTCTCTAGAAAGGAGAGAGAGAGAAAGGAAGTGAATGGGCAAGGCGTATGCACGGTCTCTCTGTCTAGCATTTGCTACCATGGCAGAGATCTTGATTTAGTTCTGTCTTCCTGTCATGGCAGCTAGAAAGGAAACACAAGTTCCAAGTACTGAAGACATAAGCTGCGCAGGTGGAGTGACTCAGACCTTCCACAAGCAGTTCACCAGAAACCGCAGGAGGACGAGCCATCTGTTACTGCTGATCTAGAGATCAGATCGGAACCCAAAACACTGGGCAGAAGCTAAAATAAAACCATTTCCTGCATCCAACAAAAGTTAGCAAGATTTTTAAAGCCCCTTAGATTTTAAAAATCTTCATAAAATAGTTCAGTTTACTTCTCCCTTATAGTCGAGGTGGAGAACTTTCCTGTGAGTTGCACATTTCTAAGTGAGGACAAATGCTAATTGTAAAGGCCATACACAGTGCTGAGCATTTCCTTATTCCATTTCCCTGGACAGTTCCTTATGCCCATAATTGGCGTAAGGTAAGCACTGGTCTGCCTCAAGAAACCTGCCGATCAGTTAGTATACCCAAAGCACTGTAGGTGTTTTGCTTCACACATTAGACCCATTCAGATGGTGCCCCTGTGTAAACAGCCTCTAGGAATAGATTCTAAGACTAAGCACTTTTCAGTGTGATTCCTGAAAGAACCACTGTGAGCAGGATCATGTTTTTCTGCTAACTGGTACAGTGGCCTTGTAGCCGACTGCACAAGGGATTCCCGACAAGTCCTTGTCCAATTTTACACAAAAAGAATTAGTTCTCTTTCACCTAATCTTCCTCCACAAATCCAGTGGACTATGTAACATACTTGGTGTTGATGTAGAAATGAAATATAGATATGAATAATATACCACCTATATTATTCATATGGTATACAAATATAAATAAATAAACATATTAATACAAATAACATATATCTAGAAAACTAATGGTTTAAATGAAATTTTGGTTTCCCGTGGAAAACATTTTAGTTTTTTAAAAATAACAAAACTAATCAGAATCTGTTCTATGGTGTTTTTAATACATGTCGACTTATAAAACGTCTTAGCAAAAGATAATTTTGTAAAACACATTTTAAACCTTAGTACTTAATTTCTTTGCAAGAATGTTTTTAAGAAAACTTTGGCCGTATTAAAGGCTGGCATTCATTTTGGAATGCAGTTGTACAAATATTTATACTTAAGCTAATATAAACTAAACCACCAAACAGAATTTTCAAATCTAACTTTTGAAAAAATATTTTGTAAACATTTGAATATAAATTTATCTTTAAACTGGTTGAAAAAGAAAATTTTGTAAATTATATTACTTGTCATGCACTTTGGAATCTGTAGAATCGAGTTATTTGCAAATCTGCCTAAATTAAATATAGTAAGGAGATCATCCAGGTAGTGTTGGAAAGGAATCGTGCTTACCTCTCTCGTCACAAAGCACTCCATTGGGTACGTCAAAATGACAGTGACTCCATAGCAAAACCTTCCAAATGTTACTAGGTCATCATTTCTGCAATAATTTTCGAATAAGTCTCCTAAAGAATAACATAAAATAGATACTGAATATCTAAGATAAATATGTCATAAGTGAGATATTGGATATTTATTATGTAAGTGAAGCTACAGAAACTTCATTTAATTTAATAGAATAGAATGTCTACATATGTTTTTACACTCAGTAACTACATAATTATTGACTGATAGTAAAACTAGTACATGTTCCACTTTAAGATGAATTCATCATTAATAGTTTTTCTCTTATTCTCATTGTTTGTTTTTGGCAGATTTTCCTTAAATTTGTACCAACTTCTAAAAAATGCTTTTATCCATTGTCTTGTGTTCACACAGAATCAACTCCCTAAATTCTTGTGCATTGGTTTTATAAACTTACTTCTGGTCTTTGTTTCTGGTAAGTAAATGACTTCATTATTTTTTTTTTTTTAAAAAAGTTCTGTTAAAATAAACAAATTTCCTTTTGAACTGCCGTTCTTAGATCAAGGACAATCCTGAAGGGAGAGTAGACCAGTACGTGTGGGGAGCTGAATTTCCTGCTCACCACACTATGGGTTCAGTCACAAACACAGGGTCACAGCAAGGAACCCAAGCATGCATTATGTTTCATGGCATCCAACAAACACAAGTGGAAATGCACCGATTCAAAACTATGAAAATATGCTTATTTCCCAGGAAGACCACTATATTTTATTAGTTCCAAACTAAATGATGGACCATATATATATATATATCTCTCTTGAGCCAATTCTTATTTACAGACTGTGTTTTCTCAGATACCTATGAAGAGATACAGGGACTAAAGAGGGCGTAGAAGTCATATTAGCAAAAAAGAATTTCCCATGCTGAAACAAGGAATATTTGGGCCTGTTTATTTCCTAAATATAACATGCTTACGTTTTATAATCTTGGTCACATTTTTCAATTAGACTGAATCAAAAATTAGATAAAAGCCACACAGTACTACATTGTTTAAAAAGAAAACAAAACAATACTTCTGTACTCTTTTTTCATGAAAAAGCTAAATGTCTTACTGCTTCCCAAGACGTAAAGTGACTCTTCTCTCCTCCCACCAACTAGAACAAATGTACATTACTTTTTAGTGTCCCTTTTGGGCAGAAGAGGATTCAACCACAAAGCAGTAGTGGCAGACACCTGCCCTGAGGTTGACTGGAAAGGCTCCAGCAGTCTGAGAAAAAAAGGACTGAAGCTCCCTGTTCACTAACCTCCACTAGAAAAATGGGCCTGCACCTTTTCAAAAGTCCCAGGGAGTATCAAGAACAATCTAGAATTCTTACTGCCTCACAAGCTGGAATTTATCTACGGAAACGGAAAAGAAAAGAAGAAGGCAGTTTGCACAAACAAGACCAGATTTGCCTAAGGTGAAATGGCCTGAAGCAACAATGTCAGTTTAGTCCAGATTGAGTCTAAGTGGATTTTAGGGAATTATGGCTAGGAAAAAAACCCGAAAACTAAAAACCAAAACCAACCTGTCAGCTTTGTTATGTAAAGATTTAATTATATCTGAGTCATACCACCGGTAAGGTATGACTAAGAAAAAGGGTTTATGTCTTTTTTACAGAGAAGGCATTTAAAAACCAAGGTTTTGTACAGACCAGAGCCTCCAGGTCATTTGTCTTGGCAATAGTGACACGTGGCAGAAATGTTTTGAAACACAATTCTTACCAAGACTTTCAAGGTACTCCATTACTGTACTCTAATGGCACACACGTGTATTCTATTTTTGACTGCACAGGAATTACGTTAATCACTCTTTTTTGAAGCCATCTTTCTTTATTTCTTGAGAAATCTTTGCCTATAAGTCAGTCACCAGTAACCTCTACTTGAAACAATGCACTAGCACGCAATGTACCATCCACCATCCACCCAGTTTTCAGCGTCATCAGAAAACTAAGGTAAGAGGAGCTGGAGGCTAAGAGATAGCTTTCAATGAGTCATATTTGACCAAAATGGGGTAGATAGCAAGGTAAAAGGGAAAGAAAATTGGACTGGAAGTCAGGAGACTTGTTTTCTACTTTGTCACCAGCAGCTTGGGCAAGTTAGTTCACCTCTTTGTGTTTTAAGCAGGGGGTAAAACTAGTTATTCCACTTGCCTTCATAGGGTTGTTTGAAGGTCAAGTGAGATAATAGACCTGCAAAAGCTGTGAAATGCATGAATCACAGCATTCAGCAGGCTGTCAGGATACCCTGAATAGCCTACTACATAGATGTGGGAATGTCAGGGTCAAAGGAAGCAGAAGAGGTGACCACTCAGTTGCGCCTGGGTGAACAGAAGAAAAGGGAGGTAACCTGGGTGTGGGCAGTGGGGGGAGGGGTGGGAGGGGCTCTGGTTTTGTGGGAAAGATGATTTTTGTGTTTAAGGTAAGAATGGGACAACTAAGTAAAAATGTCCTGCAGGCAAGAGGCTGGAAAGGAAAAGAAATATCTGGACTAGAGTTAAAACAATGAAAATCTCCAGAGAATTTGTTGAGAGAAAAAAAGGTAACTTGTCCGAGCCAGTTAATAGGGGGTAGGCAGAAGAGAAGAGGGAGAGGAGGTAGGAGAAAGCAAAGGTGAATGACAGCGAGAAAAAAATATTAACAGAGTGGATAATGGTGTGGTAGTGCTCTTTTCTCTACGAGAGGAAAGAAAGAATGTTTAGAACTCTTCAGTGATTCAGAGAGGTCCATGAGAATCAGAACCAAGAAGATTATTAGCTTTCAAGAGCAGGAAGATATTGGTGTCTTTGAAAGTGAGGTTGCAGTGGTGTAGTAGAGGAGGAAGCCAGAACTCACGTGCTTTGAAGTGAAAGCACGAAAGGAGAGCGAATAGAGTGCAGAAAGACATTTAGCAGTTTAAAAAGGAGAAAATTAGGAAACAGAAATAGCAGAGAGGCAGGAAGGTAGAGGAGAGAGTGGGTAGAAGACATAGTGATCCTTTGAAGCAGAACATTGGGTATAACTGTACCCGAAATGAGAAGTGATAGCACCACTCCACGTGAAATCCAAAATATGTTAAGACCGAATCTCTCATTTTACCTTGGGTGAAGCCAGTAAATGTCAAGTATCCACACGTAGCAAAGAGAATACTGATGAATACAGAAATCAAGGTGGACACATGGATGATGCGGGACCACTTAGCTACTGTGGGTTCTTCCAAAGAACCATAAACTAAGAAACAGTTATGGTGGCAAATAAACGCTGCAATACAAAAAAAAAAAAAAAAGCATTATTAAAGTAAGCACCACGGTTCTCTTTTTACTTCTGAAAATTCAGAGATATATGCTACTTTGGAATGCTAATGAACCGAAGTTCAAATATACTAATTTACTAGCTATGTCAGAAAATAATCTTTCTAACAGCTCCAGGAATGAGAAATTTCATTCACGTTAGGCTTATGTGGTCTCTTCATGTCACTCTTGATACAGACCAGGTCTATCCAACTTTCTCTCCCATTTTCCATTTCCTAGTGGCCTTTCCAATCTTAAGGGAAATCTCAACAACACCACATTTTCAGTCTGTGGCTTCCTTTCTAATCTGGGATGTGGCAGAGTAGTTTCAGATGTCTGGCCAATTTGTAATACTTTGTGTGCAAGGTTTGAAGAAGGCCATAACACTTGCTAGATTTTCAAGATAAAAAAAAAAATGACTTAAATGAGTTTTATGCATGAGAAAGAGACTTGTCCAAATTGAAGCAAATTTTAGTGATGAGTGAGAGAAGTTTGAGCCTCATTTTATGTTGGCATAAACTAGATCATGTGCCGCTAATAGGAAGTCTAAAACTTAGGACATCTGCTCTCCAGACACAAACATGAAACAGTGCTTTTTCATTGCTCAGAAGCCTCCATATTGAGAAAGGGCCTTTGAAACTATATACACTCACCAAACGACATAACACCGACGGCCTGGATGGCATTGGGCTTTGCGAATACCCAGGCATCTTCTGTTTTTGGTCTAGAAGAGACATTAGTTAATTTGATCAATGATTAAAGAAATGCAAGCATAAGCATATCAGAGAACAAGAAATGATGACACAATACAACCTGAATATCTTTAAGAGAGAAATTAATAAGAGGCCCCCACTGATTGTAAATAAATTTCCCAGGAATATTAACGTTACCTGTTAACCCTAGTCTTCTAAAATGCATTTCCACTGACTACTTAATTTTGTGACTTTCTTTACTCATCAATTTAACAACAAACATTTTTATGCACTCTTCATTTGAGATACTCATTGAGGGAGATACAAAAATTAATAATGCTACGTTCTTCCTCAGTTAATCAACGCTGCCCTTATTCCCCTCTAACTCATTCTCCCAGGCTCATCACACCCAAAGGAAATGCTTAGTTGGCACCACAGTTTATTGAGGAATATGGACATGGACTAATATTAATTGAGGATGCATTTAACTATGCTCTGGCAACTATCCTATGTTATCTCAAGCTTCACAGTAACACTTAAGTACTATTATCACTATTTAATACATTAGAAAGGTTAAGCTCTGGGTGGTGACAGAACTTGTCAAGCTTCCACACATAGTAAGTGAAGAAGTTGAGATTTCTCTCCTTGGTCTGTCCATCCCAATATCTCTTCCATCAGTGGCCTCAAATTCCCAGTTGTGGATATACTTCTCAAAGAGGTTTTGGAAATATACACACTTGAAATAGCTTGAAGAAATCTATTTCTTAGTGGAATTAAAACACTTGCCAACCTGTTTATTGGCAAGGATTGGTCTCCCTGATTAATGGATCCTTGAGTAATGGTGAAGAGCAAAGGCTCCAAGGTCAGACAGCCTGTGTTGGTCTTCTGGCCCTGTCCACTTGTTAGCTGTGTGATCTTAGGCAGGTTACTTAACCTTTCTGTGCTTCACTTTTGATATCTATAAAACGGGGATAATAATAATAGTACCTAATTCATTGAGTTATTGTGTGAATTAAATGAGATAAAATATGTAAAACTTCTAGAAGAGAGCCTAGCATATAGTAAGTGTTCAATAAATGGTCATTAGTATTAGCTTATATATTAATATTGTTATTATCCACTATCATTTAATAAAAGGTAGCAAAAAATCTGAAAGTATGGCCAGCTTCCCTGAAGAGGAAAGGCCTGAGTGAGACCCAAAAGAATGCATGAAGATAGATGAAGGGGATGGGGGAGAAGAGTCTAGAAAGCACAAAGGCACTAAGTGTAAAGCCATCTATTTTGTGTCTGTTATTCATTCTCGACGTAAAGCAGACATAAAAAAATACCATTTGTTTTGTGAAAGTTAGTGGGATTTATGTGTTGTATCATTTCTTTCCGTATTTGAAATGAGCAGTTATACAGACAAAGAGGGTACTAGCTGGCCTACGAGGGAGGCCTCCGGCAGGGACAGCTTGCTCCGAGTCCCACAGCTTTTTGAGTGGGAGCTGCTGCCACCTGCTGCCTCCACTCCACTCATTGCAGCGAACACCACCAGCTGCAGCATACCTGTCAAGTCCCAAAGTCAACATGGAAAAATGCCAACTTTGTCCATGATCCTTAAACAAAAAATCATTTAGAAAAGGCAGCACTGACAACCGTAGAAGCTTAAAGATCTTTCTCTTTCTAATATGTTTGAAATGATCTACCTTCCCTGTTAGGGTATTTGCATGTCAATAATACTCATCTTTCCCTCCAGTACAGATGATGGTGGTGTCCTACTTTTTAACTCTTATATTAGTAATGAAAACGTAGGAGGAATTTGATTTTCATCTTATTTATTCTATTTAAATTTATGAAATTTTTCCTGATTCATATGGTTCCTTGAATATATTCCTAGATGAGATGGAGTGTGAAATGCACCTAGAGATAATTTTGGATTTTCTGTGTTCATCTTAATGATGCTGATTTTATAAGATGGAAAGTACCAAAAAACATGCTACAGAAAGGAAAAAGTGTATTTCCAAATCTAGATAAGGAGAAGGAAAGAGACAGTGAATATGGTTTTCCAATCTTTTATACAATAGCCTGGGATTGAGCTCCAGAAACAACCAATTCCACAGAAAAGAAAGAGCAAGTTCCTCGGTCTATTATATAAGGTTGCTGAAACCATGATACCCAATGTGGATGAGAAAATGGAGTTATAGACCGCTCTGACTTTAGACTATAGATGCTCAAATAGAAACTGAAATATTATCGAATGCAATCAAGCAGTGTATAAGAAAAAATCAAGAAGAGTTTTTACAATGAATGCAAGGAAGTTCAATAATAGAAAAATCTATTAAAGTAATTCATCACATTAACAGATTAATGGAGAAAAATAGCTTATGACTATTTCAAAATACATAGAAAAGTATTCAATTTGATAAGCACACTAAGTAAGCTATTAATAAAATAGAACTTCCTTAACCTGATAAAGAATATCTACCAAAACCAATAGCAAATGACATATTTAGAAGTGAAAAGTTAGAAATATTACAATTAAAGGCAGAAACCAGATAACGATGTTCACTCTCACTGCTTTCAGAATGTATTACTGGAATTCCTAGCTGATACAAGAAAATAAGAAGCAATAAGACATGTAATCATTGGAAAGTGATAAAATATTTGTACACAATATATGTACCCAGAAAATTCAGGGGCATCTACTGACAAGCTATTGGAATTAATAAGAGTATTCAGAAATGTTACTGGATACAAGCTACATACACAAAAATCAATAGAGTTGATGGACACAAATAACAACCAATTAAAAAGTCTTTTAAATGACAGTGACAACAAAAACACTAAGTACGTTTAAAGATATGCATAATCTTAATGGCATTATATAATTTTATTGAAAGTCACAAATAAATGGAGAGATAAACCATAACCATATGGATGAATGAGAAGACTCAATATCATACAGATGTCAATTCTCTCCAAATTAATATTTAAATTCAAAAGATAAAATATTGGGGGCCAGCACGGTGGCATAGCGGTTAAGTTCATGCGCTGCACTTTGGCGGCCCAGGATTCACTGGTTTGGATCCCGGGTGCAGAACTATGCACTGCCTATCAAGCCATGCCATGGCAGGCGTCCCACGTATTAAATAGAGGAGGATGGGCACAGACGTTAGCTCAGGGCCAGTCTTCCTCCCAAATAAATAAATAAATAAATACATAAAATATGATATTGAGGGAAGAAAGACTTTTTAAAAAAACCCATAAAAGCTAAAATCATAAAGGTAAAGATTGATAAATCTGATGTAACTAGTGGCAGATAAGATAAAATGTCTATATGATAAAGTAATTCATATACAAAGTTAAAAAATAAAGAAAAGCTAAAAACCGAGAGATGAGATTTGTTATGCATATAACAAAGAAAGGGTGACTATTCAGTGTATAGTACAAGCTCCTGCAAATCAATTAGACAATGATATTCCAGTGAGCAGTAGACAACAGTTAATTGATAGAAAAGGAAATAAAAATGGCCAATAAATATGCTACAAGTTGCTTGCTTCCTTAATAATTAGAGAAACTCAAGTGAAATCCACAAAAAAGAGCATTTTACATCTAATTCAATAATTGAAAAGTTGATAAATTGCTGGGAAAGAACAACTTGCAATTATTATGGAGGGAACTGTAAACTGTCAAACACTCTGGAGAAGAATTGGGGAGCATCTAGTAAAGTGGAAGGTACTCAAAGCTTGTAAGCAAACAATTACATTTCTAGGTCTGTAGGGCACATGTGCACACGGGGATCTGGATAAGGATGTTTACTGCTGCATTGTTCATATTAGCCAAACTTTGGAAACAAGCTCAATGTCCAGCAATAGAATTGATAAATAAATCCATAACTAAAATATGGCACCACCATAAGATTGTGTGCTATAGAGCAATTAAAAAGAGTCATTCAGTGCGAAGTGTATCAAAATGGAAACGTATAGAATACAGTATATAGAGGAAAATAGTGAGTTATAGAAGGGAATGTACATTTTTCTACCATAGTAATTATTTATGTATATTTTACAAACATACTAATCCATACTACATATTTTGTCAATATATAAATGCACAGCATAAGTATAAAAGAAAGAACAGGAATGATTCAAACCAACTTAAAGATAATAATTTCCTCTAAGAAAGAGAAATGAATCCAACTTAAGAATAATAGTTACCTCTGGGAAAGAGAAATAAATCGACTTTTAAATATGATAGCCTATTGTTGATAAAGAGTGGAACGAAATATAGAAAATTATTTCAAAAAGACCTAGCCGAATTTACTGCTCCCTGAACTTTATATAATTATACAATATTTTCTACATAAAATCTTTTCGGATCTGAACTTAATTTTTAACCGTGATTTTCCATAAATATTCTATAACTGAAACTACATTCCTCCTGCTTTCCAGTCACTTATTCAATTCATTCAATTTTCAACAAATATTTGCTGAGCACTAGTGATGTGGCAGTCACTGTGATAATCACTAGGGATGCCGCAGAGAAAAAGACAAAAGAAAGAAATATTTTGGTTTATATTCTATATCATAATGTAGAACAGCCCTATACAATAGTGCTTTCTGTGCAGGTGGAAATGTTCTATCTCCATGCTGGCCAATATGGTTAGCACTAAGACGCACAAGACTATTGAGCATTTACAATTATGGCTAGTGCAACTGGGGAATTAATTTTTAATTTTATTTAATTTTATCTAATATGAATAGTCTCACGTGGCTAGTTGCTACTGTATTGGATAACACAGATCTGCATGAAGTCGTGTAGGTAATTTTTGTTTCAGAAAATGTAATTATCTTCTAATGGTCTAAAAGAGTTAAAGAAATTACTTAAAAAGGTTTAATTTTTCTTGTGGTGTAGTTTATGTCATAAGTTTCAGCTACTATCTACCACTTGAACTTTCTGAGAGGCAAGGAGAAGAATGGAGGAGTTGAGTATAACAATAAGTAACAAGAATACTTTATTAACTTATAACAAATCACGGCTATTAGAGAAT